TTCTTTTATTTCTCCAGAGAGCGTTTCTCTAATAACTTCCATGCTTTTTTCAAGCCCAGCTAGTATCTTTAAAATCATGATTCTGAACTCTAGGTCCGACATCATACTAATGTCCATATTGAGTAGGTCCCTGGCAGACAGTACTGCCTCTTGTTCTGTTTGTTGAGGTGATTTTTTCTGTCTTGTCATTTTGTCCAGAGGAGAATAGATGAACGAGAGAACAAAATGCTAACATGGTAACAATGTCCCCAGAAAATATACTGTAAACAAATCAGAAAAGACCTGAAACCTGGGGAAAAGACAGGGAAAGAAATAAAAAAGAGAAAGAAAAAGATAAAAACAGACTAAAACAGAACAAAAGAAAAACAATATGATCAAATATGATCAGGCTGGTGCATAGATCAGTGCCACACACTAGATTTTGGGTGTATTTTGCTCTGTTAGAAGGAAGTGCCTCCCAAAATTTTAAAGAAAGAAAAACTTATATATGTACAAAAATAAGGGTTGATATGATGAAGGGATGGAATATGAAGGTAAAGATGAAAATTATAAAAAATTTTATAAAAGGACTTGATAAGAAGTTGTTTGAAAAAAGAAAGAAGAGGATTTAAAAAAAAAGGAAAAAAAAAGGGAGGGAATATGATCAAGCAGGAGACTAGAACAAAGCCATACACTAGAGATTCAGGGTATATTTTGATCTGTTTGAAGAAACTGTATCTGAAAATTTTAAAGAGAGAACAATTTATATATATATGCCAAAAATAAGGGTAACTACTATGAAGTGATAGAATATGACTCTAAAAATGAAAAATAATAATGTTTTTTAAAAAAGGGATTGATATGATGTTGGCTGAAAAAGGGAAAAAGAAAAATTCAAAAAAAATTAAAAAAATTAACTTTGAAAGACTAAAGAATCATTGTAAAAAAGCCATGGATTCTATGTGCCGTATTCCCCTAGCTCTGGGGTTCTGCCGTTCTCATTGATGGGTAAACTTGGTCTTGGCTGGTTGTTCTTGCTGATCTTGTGTGGGAGGTGCCTGTTGTCGTGGTTCCCAAACGTCTTTGCCGGAGGTGGAATTGCCCCGCCCTTG